GACTCCTGGGCTTCAAAATCTAAGTTGAAGAAGGTGACAAATGGCTCTCGGGAAGGAAACCAGTGTTTCTAAGCTCAGAAACATGTCATCAGTAAGGCGGCACTTCAGGCCCTGTCAGACAGGATGTCTGTGTGTCCTTGAGAACGATGTCTGCCTTCCTAGAGTTTCCCACTGGGGAAGAGTAAGGGCCAAAAAGATGTCTTAGGCTATGAAGGTGCCTCTGGAGAAGAAGGCTGAGGACATGGAGCTCTAGAAAAGGCAACCGTGTGGTAACTAAACTCCCATTTATCTCCACCCTCCCAGGCCTGGGTGCTTTAGTCATGTCTAGAGCCATTAATGAAGGTGGAAACTGCCATCTATGATCCAAGCTCCCAGAATATGAGATTTTCCTAGTGTCTTGGAAATTTTGGCTTCAGTCTTAGAGGTGAAGACAATGGCGATAAACATCCCATCTTCCAAAGAAGGGTGCTAGGAATACCCTTGAAGGACTTAACAAAAGGCAGTAGAACCTGCCTCGTGGCTATCAACCCCTATTGCCTACCTGCCTCTGATAACAGAAATTCAAAAAGGCATAGAGGAGAGTCAGCAGGGGGCTGTCCACACAGCGGGAGTGTGGTGGTATTCCCTGTCCTTCTGCTGTGATAGAGGTCAGAGGATCCTGCAAGGAGGGGAGCCCAGCCTCCCACTCCCTTTCCAGATGTCTCCTGAGGAGGGAAGCTCAGGTCCTCAGGCTGCTGAGGGACACAAGAGAAGCCTGACGGCAGATTTCTCGGGACAAGTTGGCTTGAGGGTCCTGGAGCTGGGAAGCGTTCATGGACAGAACGTGTGGAGCCTGCTGAACTTGGAAGATGTGGCAGGCAGGAAGCTGGCTGGAGCCTCCCTTGATGACAGGCTAAGGAGCAGACGAAGTGGGAATGGCGTGCACCTCCATCACTTGGCTCATGGGGGCCCTGGGTCCTGTGGCTGGTACTGGGTCCAAGCAGCTTGAATGCACTCTTCTGAGAAAGCTGCCAGCCAGGGTGGGGGACTTCATTAGCAGGAGGCTCTGAGGAGACCATGAGGGAGCAGGACCTGAGGCTGCGGGGGGAGGGGGGGAGTTTTTGCACAAGGTTTGCCAGAAATTGTACCACTTTTGTCAAGGAACTCAAAACGTGTCCCAGAAAAACATGCCTCCGGCCTGTGTAAGCTGAAAGAGGAGCATGACAATGCCAGTTACAACACCTTGTTCCTCTTACCTCTGACCTGCTGTGTCCTGCCCAGACCTCAAAGTAGCCGCAAGCAGTACAGGAAGGAGGTAAAGCAGGAGTGAAAGAAGAGGCTGTG